TCAAATTTGTCCCCCACTTTGGTTTATGACCAGACTCCTCCTCCAATGACATTCCTCTCACCTTCAGCTGTGCTACATGTTTAATGCTAATTAGCAAACTAAGATTGTGAATATGACAAACATGACACCTGTAAAAAATGACCGTGTAAGCGTCGTCATTGTGAGTGCCTTACAAAGCCGGCACGTTTCTCAAGGCTTTGCTGCGCCCAAGCAGAGATGTCATCGTCACTGTAACGTACCTGATATGAAGCTTTGTCACTGCACAAAGACAGCTGGCTGATCAGAGCGATTCTGATTCTGTTATCGTTTATCTTTTTCTTTCGCCTTTGTTTTTGTCAGAACATCAGCGCAGCTTAAGAACGGAGATGAATGCCATCAATTAGATGCTGGTTTAAGTGCTGTATGATATGCGGCGGTGCGATGCTCACATTTGATTTATGTTGTATTGCATTAATTTGCGTAGTTACTGAGCCACTTATCAGTAATGAGGCAGCACCAGAAGGAAACCACAAGGGTGGGGAAAAGAAAAGGAAGAAAAAAAAAACATGTGCAGGGTTGTTATAAATGCAACACAAAGAGCTGCTGACAAACACTAAGTTTGTCTGTGATGTTACACGTTTTAATGCTGTGCCTGCGAGAAACATCACACAGGGAATCCACTCACGACACGTTTAATCCCAGCATATCAGTGTTCCTTGTAAAATCTGTACATGCTACCAAGGCACAAAATATTATCTAATGCAAGCAAAAAAAAAAAACACTGCAGCTGCATTGAGTTTAGCAAACATCTTCCAGAAATGAGAATTACACATAAACTAACTGCATTCGCTTGCTCAGTTATTCCACTCCCATTTTTTTTTTTTTTATATAACTCAGTTTTGAATTGATGCATGGTCTATAAATGTTGTAATTGAGTTACAATAACCCAGTTTGTGGTCCATTTATGAGGAACTCAGTCCACTGACGAATGGTTTTATGGGTTGCTGTTTTGTTTGAACTCAGCAAATGTAATCCCCCATGTTGATTAAACATGTATGAGCGAGATAATATGCACCATTTCACTGTTTACTTACAGAGCGCCTTTTGTGGCTCGGCCATCTGACCAAATGAAATAAACTGCGGTGCTCCCTGGAGGATTTTTCTTTGCCAGTCAGCCGAGGTTGTCGTTATGGCTGACGGGGGTGGGAGGGAGGAGGGAGAAGTCGGTTCTGCCTTTAGTTTTTATTCAAAAATATTAAAGTGTACCCTGATATTACGGCGTGTCTACATTCTGATTAGAGAGCTGTATTTTGTTTCTGGAGACGTACCATGATGCGTTTGCCTCGATCCGACTGCAGCCTGAGTGTGTTTTTTCTCTCCCTCTGCCCTTTCAGGTTGACCATTCATGCCGAGTGCCCCATGCACCTGGAGGATTTCCCAATGGATGCACACGCCTGTCCTCTGAAGTTTGGAAGTTGTAAGTTGGTCCAGATGGTCACAAAACAAAAAAAAAAACAGAGTTTAATATAAAATCACACTGCAGAAACAGCGGTGATTGTTCTCTGCAGGTGTTAGGCACCTCTCCTGACCTGGAAAAACTTCAGAGGATTGCACTCAGCACTGGGAATATGATGCGAGGGGATAACAGTCAACATAGCAAAAAAAACAAAAAAACAGTCCACCACTGGGGCTTGAAGTAAAAGTTCCCTTGATCCCAAACAAGTTGGAAAGTATATTTGTGCCACTTGCTGCAGAACAAACGGTTTCAAGGACCAAAGTTTAACCATGATCATGAGGAGGAGGAACTTCACTCAGAGCTAGACTGAGAAGTTAGTAACACATTTATACAAATACGCTGATTTCAGATAAACAGTATCTGTATTGCTGAGTATGCATTGGACATTACTGCAGCTATAAAGTGTAGAAATTAGTTTACATAGTTTGTCTAACAGAGCACAATAGCAAGAATACTTCTACCTGCAAAACAGTGCCTATCTCCATCCGGTCCATGTTATGCCTTCCATGTTCGTGGGTCGTCCACACAGACCAGTAGGGGTATAATACTAACAGCTATGCATCTATGGTGTCTACAGTCGTCCACGTCTGAAACCTGTATTCCAAAATACTTTTTCCTTTCAGTACTTACTGCAGCTGCCCTTACAAAGCATGTAGTGTTGCATTCAGCACAACTAGGGCATGATGTCACTAGACCGATTACCAACCCGGCTAACAATCAGGGCCCATATGTGGCATTTTTTCCCAAATAATGGCTATTTTTAATAACCGATTATCAACTACTTAAATGGGTCTGATGCAGTGGTCTCAGCTACATCACTCTAAAGTCGACACAACCTGCAAAAATTCAACACGAAGCACAAACCAGGAAAGTACCTACTTTCACAGTGGCTAGGCTATGCTAACAGCTAGCGGCTAAGCTAAGAGACAGCCACACATCACCTCAAACTGTCAGGAAAACAATAAGAATGAATGCTAATGTAACAGAAAAGGAAACGGTTAAGAAAGCAGAGAACAACAATCAGCTGTTCAATCATAATTAGTCGATCTCACAGTGAACAGATGAGATCCTGGTCTGTTAGGGGTAGGACTGGAGAACACCCTAAGAGTCCACAGCCATGACAGCAACTCTGTCAGGCTGTACTTGGGACGTACATTAATGTGGGAATGCCATGAGTTTTCCTGATAAATCAAATAGAGTTGAACAGACTGATGACATAATGAAATCACCGGTGAATGGCTCAAGGATTCAACAAGTCTTAATGATGCATCATCTGGGAACCGGATCAGATTTTCTGCCAACCTGCCATCACATCTACCCATCTACCTCCTGGCATGTTTAGATGTCACACTCAATAATTAAGAACTGTAACCTGCTGGTGGCACTGGAGGAAAATACCAAAGCAGCTAGGACCTCTGGGGATCATGAATATCTATAGATTTCCAGTCCAGCACACAGTTGTTGATCTATTTCAGTCTTTACAAAGTGATCTATCACAGGTGGCCAATGGTGCCGTCCTTGGAGCCATGCTAACGTGGCTACAAAGTGAATTTTCAATGAGTATGGGAAATGTGATGCCTTAAGAATCCATCAGTCTAATCGATACTGGGTGTAACTAAGAATCACTCTCTCACTACAATATTAAGATGACTCAATCCTTTATTACTTGAAATCAATAGTAAACTTCAGAAGCTTTCTTGCCGAAGGAGATGTTGCTCGTCTGCTATACAGCATAGACCAGGGGTGTCCAATCCTGGTCCTCGAGGGCCACAGTCCTGCATGTTTTAGATGTTTCCTTCTTCCAACACACCTGATTCAAATGATCAGGATCGTTATCAGGCTTCTGCAGAGCTTGATCATTTGAATCAGGTGTGTTGGAAGAGAGAAACATCTAAAACATGCAGGATTGTGGCCCTCAAGGACCAGGATTGGACACCCCTGGCATTGACAGATATAAGAAGATAAAACATTACTTTCTTATTTCTAATCTGTGTGTTTTCTGCTGTTCTTCTTCTCCCTGTCGTCCAGATGCTTACACCAACAACGAGGTGATCTACCTGTGGACCCAGGGGGACGAGAGGTCCGTCGCCGTGGCGGAGGACGGTTCCAGACTGAACCAGTACGACTTACTGGGACACGTTATTGGCAAAGAAACCATCAGTTCCAGCACAGGTACACTTTACGCCACTCTCAGTCCAGCCAGAAGCATAAAATATAATTCAAATTAAATCAGATTTGGTGTGCTGGAACAGGCGAAAGGTTAGGGCCTACGGCGAGCATCACAGCGCGCTGAGCTCGGCCGCCTGCAGCGTGCAGAGACTGGTCAGCCAGGGAAAAAATTTCATAGCAGTTTGACGCATCAAATTCTATTTTGTTGGAGGACACTCCGAGCGGTGAAAGAAAATGAGTGTGTCGTGGGATGGAACTCCTACCTTTGAAATATAAACTCTGATTAGTTTTCCTGCATATACTTTGTAGTACATTAAATTGCCTTCTCTCTGTTCTGTTGACATTTGGCACTGGCGTGTTCTCGTACGGCGACAGTCTGCAGTTTTCTCCGGCGTCATTTTGATTTCAGCTTCAGTTGTTTGGGTCCATCGAGAAAATGATGACTGTTATCAGTTTTTTCGGGGGAAAACCATTCAGCACATTCGCACAGATAATATGAAGAGGTGTGCCAGAGGTGAAAGACTTATTTACAGTCTGTTTTTGGGCTACAGCCCAGAGTCGACTTTAATAACCGCAAAATTAAAGGGAATATCTTCCAGCTCATGCTTTTGATTACGTATTCATTTCATCTTAAAAAAAATTCGTCTTCAAAACTGTTGCGGGATCCTTTTATCTGTCACACACGATTCACTTTTTGTTATTTCCCCACTGGAGGACTTAAAGCTTCGGGTAGCACTGAAATAACAAGGTACACTACAGCTGTATGGTGATATATAACCGAGTTCAACCACCTCCGAGAAACTGCTGTGTTTTTATTATATTTACGACTAACTGTCATGTACTAAAAACTGTTTAAAAAAAGAGTTACTGAGAGTTTTAAAATATCTATCAGGCGCGTTGCATCACTACTTACTAACATCAATCAGCTTTAGGCAGCAGTGCAGAAAGACTGGATGAAGAACTCATAACTGCAAAAACTAGAAGATAAAAGGTTGCTTGTGTAGGGTTGTTCACTGAAAGCATGCGTAGCTTACGACTGAGCCACACCAGCTTCCCGTTTAGAGAGATTTAACCTCTGCGTAGAAGCTGTTTGCTCGTGCAGCTCTCAGGAGGTGAGCTGAAGAGTCGCAGACATCTGTCAGACTTCACTTGCGTTTGGAGACCAAAACACTAGAAACCACTTTGTTGGATGGCACGCTCCGCTTTTTTTGTTTTCCTCGGAAGCCAAAAAGAAAAAAAAAGCGTGCTGTTGAAATGATAGCGCTTGTTTAACTCTACAGAGGATGCTTTCGTCGAGCCCGTCTTTATTGTCGTGCTGTTCGGTGGTTTGAACTGAAGTCAAGAGAACAGCGGCGGCGTTTTAAAGGCCGACATGAAGCCTGGCGAGAACCGAAACTCAAGGTGGAGTCAAACGATTCTTTTCATAAACAGTTTTCGGTTTATGGACGCCAGAAAATCTCATTGCTTTAAACTTTTAAACCTAATGGACTACAGTGAGCTGAGGGAACGGGAGGATTTGAGCCAGTGCAGCTCTGGTCAGAATCTGCTCAGAAAAAAGCACCTCGGGGAATGGAAGGCTGTTTTTCTCATATCTTTGCAACACAGATTGCAGACATGGCAATGTGAGCTGGCGCTTAGGGGAACTGCGAATTTGTCCATTTGCTGCCGTCAGTGGCAAATATCAAGGGGTTGGAGTGACGCAGGTACAGGTTCTTCACGAAGACATCTATAGGAAAATGCAAATGCGTATTTAAAGGAATATGCCACTGAAAATCTACGTCTGAAAAATCAATGGCTTGGTATTAGCTTGAAAGTCGGCTCTGATGAAAAACCTCTGGGAGGACAACAGTTTGCAGGCAGGCCTCACAAAGGAGAGCGAACTTTTGAAAGTCAACTTAGCAGCTACAGGAGAGTATTTACATAAAAACAAAGCTGTTCGGAAGTGTGAATGAATATATTTTGATATTGATTAGCTTCTGTCCTTCATGATGTTCAGGGAGGTTTGTTTATTCCTCAAATCAAGGTTTCTTCTAACATACAGGTCAGGGTAGAGCGGAGCCAGGGGGAACTGGACTCCTTATAATAAGACACAAGCTCCCCTGAAAACATGATTTGTGAAATTAATAATTACGGGCAATCCTGATGCCAACCAGATTCAAACAAAACAGCAGAACAAACTTTCTGCACTGAGGTTAAGGCACAGAGGGGCTGGCCTGGACCGGGCATCGCTGGATAAGGAGCCAACACTTGTCTCCAGTCCGTTGGCACACCGCGCTAGCTGCCAGGAGTGTGTCACTTAAATAGAGATGATGTGGGAAACAGGGTCATGGGTGCCTCTCAACCATTAGACCCACCTCGCAGGGGCAAACACCAGTCGCCTCAGTCTGCAGCCTCCACCGCAGGAGGGCTGCAGATGTGAATAGGGGCGATGCAGCCACAGCTAGTACCTCACAGGAGACCTGCACAGAAGCCAACAGGAAGTGGAATATTTGGCTTCATTATCAAGGGATGTGATAGGCTGGAGCATGCATGGATTTAGGCCTCGTCCACATGTAGCAGGGTTTTTGTGAAACCGAATATCCTCCCCCCCTACATACATATCGCCTTGTTTTTAGAAAAGGATTCATCCACACCGAACCGCATAAGTGCGTTGTCCAGCACATTCAGATTCTACGTGAGGATGTAATAACTCCGACAACAGGAGCAAAGACCGGGACGTACGGAAATTGTCACGCCATTCCTCTGTCTCAAAGTTCTCCCACCAGCTGGCAGTGCGTCCCAGTCTGACCCAAAACCGGCGTCGGTGTCTCTGACGGAGAACATGTCTCAGACGTGGAACGGCAAGGTGGCGGAAAATAACGTCGTCCTTAACGCCGTCCATCGCCTGTGTTCTTGGAGCGGTATCTGGGCCTGGACCAGAGACAACACGGTTCTGAGGGCGTCCACGCTGTTTCCAAATGTAAACACAGGTCACATATGTGATGTAAAGAACATGTTTTGTCGCAGGTAGAGACGTTTCGAAACCTAAAACCCGGTTATTGACGTCCACATGCAGACGCATAAACGGAGGATTCGCAGATCTTCACTTTGGTCGGAGGTTTTTGAAAGAATGCCGTAAATCTGCGTTTTCGTGTGGATGACAGGAAACATCGTAGAAACATATCTTGGTTTTGTGAGACACACTGATACGTGTGGACGAGGTCTTAGTCATGAACTTTTTCTTTGTGTGTTATCAAGGTGGTTTTGCATCAAATGCATTTAAGTGAAACGATGGAACTTTCTGTCAAACAGTTCCTGCTGCTGATGAGGTGTCTATTGTGGGTGCACATCGTTTCATCTCCCATACATGTGTCAGAAAGACTTTAATAGACCTGCGTCACCTGATTTGTACCAAAAACACTGACGTTTGCGACCTTCATTCAATTCCATTCGTTCAAATGGCACTTTTACCTTCCTGAATGGGTTCTGGTTTAAACTATGTGACCTTTTTTTTAATGAAAAACTCACATCACCATCTCTGTGGACGATCTCTAAGCGCATTGTATCGTTTAGCCAACATTTTCCGTGTTTTCATTCGGTTTAATTGCTCATCTAAGGGACTGAAGACGATCCTTGTGAGCTACTTTGATGATGCAAGTGTACATTTAATGATCCTGCTTTAACAAATCCATCTTGGAATAATTTAGCTTGTGTTGCTCCCAGCTGGGCATAGCTGTATTACTAATTATGACCCTGTGTTCTCTTCCCTTCTCTCCCTCTCTGTCTCTATCTTTCTCTCCTTTCCCTCAGGAGAATATGTAGTGATGACAACATATTTCCATTTGAAAAGGAAAATTGGCTATTTTGTGATTCAAACCTACCTTCCGTGCATCATGACTGTCATACTGTCTCAGGTCTCCTTCTGGCTAAACAGGGAATCGGTTCCTGCGCGCACCGTGTTTGGTGAGTGCCAGCTTACGTTTCTAATCCAACCCAATAAATTCAATAAATGACTCAGATCATTTGTGGAGAGGGATTTTAAACTGCAAGGTAATGTGGAGGGCTGCATCTGTTCCCACCGTCAGATGATTCAGCAAGTTGCAAAACAAGTGGGAAAAACAAAAACGGTTCTGCATGAAAAGTTCTAATTCTAAACATAACGATGTAGAAAACAGAGCGCGGCGCATTCGGACGCACATGAGCGTGGAAAGTAATTTATTTTTTCCAAAGCTTTTATCGCAGTATTGACGCGATCCTACCTCTGTAACTGCAACACTTATTAATTAAGGATTAGTAGAAACAAAGTAGGAAAATATGAAAAAGCGCAGCAGCTGACGGACGAGGTGCCGCATCTCGTGATGAGGATGCTCAACCGATCCGACAGCAATACAACAGCCAGCCTGGTTCGTTCTCAGCGTCAGTGCTCAGAGAGCGCTGCTTGATTTAGATAAAATCAGACACGTCCAGTTTAACAGCCAGGATAATCCCGCTGAAGATAGTTGGGTCACACGTTTGCAGCAGTGCAACAACACAGATCAGTTCGGTTACAAGGAAAAGACGGGAGATCAAATCCTCGTTCGTTAGTCTTCGTACACAGTGTTGCTGTTAATCAAGAGGACACCAACACATTAAAGCAGATGTAATCTTTGATGAGAAAACCTTTTTCAAAATGGTAATGTGTATTATTTATACGCAATAGTAATTTGATTTAACCCTTTCAACACTAAGTAACTTTGGCTTTGATTACTAGGAATATCAAATCAAACTTTATTTATACAGCACTTTTCATACATGGAGCAACGCAAAGTGCTTTACAGTATTAAAAACATTGTCAAAGAAAGACAAAAAAAGACAAGAAAACCCGTCCCCCCTTCCCCAGACACACACTCACTGTAGGGAGACATGGCATGGCACTGAGGCTTGCAGAAAACGCTACCAACTGAGGCCATCCACTCCGGGAGGAGTCGCAGACCATGACCACTAGGGGGTGTCGGCACCCGGACCCCCCAGATATATATGCCTGTTTGCCAGGGTCCTTGATAGGGTTCCTAGGGGGGTGGTCTTTGCTGCTGCTAATGGGTAGCCGCGATTACGCTAGCGAATAGCAGCGTAAAAAAAAAATAATAATTTGCTGCAAATTGGGCCAATACGTTGTTTTTGAGGGTGCGTAACGGGAAAATATGTCACAACAAGCGCCGATGGAGTTCCACTGCTCTTGTCTAAGCTAACGCTGCTATTCTCTAGCATAATTGCCGCTACCCCTCGAAAACAACATATCAGCCCAATTTGCAGCAAAATTTTTTCAGGCAGCAGCGAAACTCCGTCATGATGCTGGCGAGAACCCTGCATGCAATTATTATTATTATTACTATTTGCATAATTTATTTAATGACTGAATCACTTGTTCACATCCAGGGATTCCCACTGATAGCCAATCAAAATGACTCTAACAGGAAGTCGCCATATACCGGAGCCGCTATACCGGTCTGCAGGGTGGACGGGATCAAAGCGGCAGACCGGTTTAGTGGTCTGCAGGGTTGAACGGGGTAAAAGCTGCAGACCGGTATAGCGGGCTACAGTGTTGAAAGGGTTAACATGCAATTATTCTCATTGCTCATGTAACACCTGACCATGTTTTTTTTTTCTATTTGTGCTGTGAACAATACATTCAATTTGTCCAACATAATACATGCTAAGAACATTGTGTCTGCTCCGATCACCAGATACTCGACCGTGAAATGTAATTCTCCATTCCCCTCATTTGTTGCTATTGTGTTCCATAATCTAGAAAAGCGTCCTCTCACCTGCGCATCTTAAATAATTAGCATTTTGATTTGAAAAACGAAGCACACGCGTACGTGAAGCAGCATACATTGTACGATAGGTGCAAACCGAAGAGCCGTTCAGACTCTTGAGATGCTGAACAGCTCGCTCTACCTTTTGAATTCCGAGCGAGCACAGCTCCGAAAATCATTTCAGTTACGTAAGAAACTCAATTTTTGGAGAACAATTTCCGTCGCATTAGGAGAGAGTCGTTGTAATCAGCGTTGTTTTCTGAAGGGAATGATTGAAACATTACTGTGGGAGACGCAGCTCCGAGCAGTTCAGTACTCTATGTTCTCACCGTCAGCCCAAATGACGGTCTTTCAGTTCATCAGCAACTGCACTGGTTTTTGTTCCATGGTAGGCTTTAAAGTTGTATTTTGTAGGCATGACTAAATACGTCCTGGATTTTATTTCAGGACATTTTGTTACTGCGAGCACCCCCCAGTCGTCCTCATCCTACCTGACACCAATTAATCACCGAGCTAATAAAACCCACTTTCTGTACAGACGAATAATTAAATCGAAACATGGCGCAGAGTTTAAACGGTGGAACACGCTCAAGTTATGCAAAATGTATTACCTGAAAAAAAGAAAAAAATCAATCAGTCTCTGGCCTTAAAGCGAACGGTAACCTATCAATCTTTTTGTCACAATCTGTAATTCCTCACCTGTGACTTACTGAAATGAGTTGACCTCCCTCTTCTCCGACACGATATTCCCCATTTAAAGCCTCCCGGGTATCCGTCCTGTATCAGATGAGACGGGCCGGAGAAGCGATTGTTTTTATCTGGTCCGATGGGCGACCATTGTCCGAGTCACATTTCATTCCGAGCAACGCTGACTGCAAAGGCCGGAATGTGAAATGATCTGCGAAATTTATACGCCAGGGGATTCATTTCCAGATTAATTAATTTTGGTCTGCTGTTCACTTTTAACACGAGGGGGGTAATTTAACATTTCTACTGAGATAACCGTCGCACACAATCCCACAACCGAGTCTGTAAATGTATGCCGGGCCACAGCATGTGTGTGTCTGTCTGTGTGTATAAGCTTTCTTTTTTTACAACTTGGGTCTTATCAAAGTGGTTTCCAAATGGCTTGAAGTCACTGTTTTTATTATTTGTTGACGGTTCAAACCCTTCGACTCCATTTGACAGGGCTTCTATTGATGCCAGAAACACATGCATCAGAGTGGCTGGAACAAAAAAATGCAGCCCGAGACATCCCTTAGAACGGTTCAGTGCACCGAGAAGGCTCGTTCCTCGTCGTTTTAACCTACAAGACTGACCCACTGTACTCGCAATGTTTATGCATCAGTGAATTGTGTCAGCAGTATCAGCCTCAACTTCCTGATTTCATACCGATTACGTAAAGCTCCGCAATGCAGTCGACCAAAACATCATGTTCTGTTGATAACTTTTAACCTAAATGTGACCTTAAGCCCCCCCAAAAATACTTTAGATTAGTTTTAATAATTATTTTGCATGTTTTAAGGTGTGCACAGCTTATTTTTCTGATGCATCTCTACAGGTTATGAAAGCCATGATGGCAAAACCCAATCCTGACTCAAGTTGTAAAGAAAAAAACTAAAAACTTTCCTTGCAGTGTTTCCTCAAAAGAACTCGTTTACTGATCTTTCCATTCTGTCCTCAGGGGTCACCACTGTCCTAACCATGACCACCCTGAGCATCAGTGCTAGAAACTCCCTTCCTAAGGTGGCCTATGCCACCGCCATGGACTGGTTCATGGCTGTGTGCTATGCCTTTGTCTTCTCTGCCTTGATTGAGTTTGCCACTGTCAACTACTTCACCAAGCGCAGCTGGGCATGGGATGGGAAAAAAGAGGGCATGGAAATAAGGGTGAGTAATACTTGTTTGAAACAGTTTCGTATTATAAAAAAAAAAGAATTAATGGAAATGTCACGCCTGCACTTTCGATTCAGCAATAACGATCACAAACACCGCAAGAAACAAAAACGTTTTTTCGGAACACTTTTTTCTTGCTGCTGATTATTATCTTTTTTTTTTATAAAAATGCTTGAAGCTGCTCAGAAAGTCGTCATTTTTTTTTACACTGGAGGAGTGATGAGGGGAAATTGCACTTTGGAAACACTGATAGAAAGTTCCCTCTTTAACGCAGCCCGGAGTACTCCATAAAGACTATAAAGAGACCTTTTATTTATTCATTACCAGCCAAATGGAACAGGGACAGTGGGGCGGAACAGTGAGGGAAGAAACAGAGGTAAACTCCCAGAGACATTGGCCCTGATTTACGACGGCAGCATATGTTCAGCTCCCATCCTAAAGTCAGTGTGGCTCATTGTCCCCCCCCAAAAAAAACTGCATCCTCATGGCGAGATTTACACGTCTTGAGCAGACTGTTTACTTTTTTTTTGGGCATGGGGGGAGGATGGAAGCTGATACATCACAACTTATAGATTTTTAATTTGTCAGCTGTCTGGGCTGTTGGTGTGTTGTTTATAAGGATACAAAACAGGGAGTGGATTTACATTAAGGTAGGAACGCCGAGTGTTCCAGCACCAAGTCGCTTTCTGTGCTTGACCCCGTTTAAAATAAAACGTGGTTTCATTTTGCACGAGTCTAAACAAGCTGCTCTTCTCTGAAACCGACGTGTTGACATAAATAAAGCCTGATGTGTTTCTCATGATAACTCCCCCCCCAGTGCTTAAATTTACTATGATTTCGGCGCCGCTTTATAACTCACATCAAATAAAAAGAGATAAACAGCATGGGGTGGTATCAGAGCAGGCACAGAGAAGTGATGAGGAAAATTAAAGCGCAACCTGAAATGGTGCAGAAAAAAAACATCTATATCTGTGTTTCCACATGAGCCTGATTGAGTTTAAATATTGTTTAAATGGTGCTTTTTGTAGTTTTCTTAATTGGTATTCTGTTAAGTCAGATGATTATGCTATACGTGGTCAAAGCGCCAAACTTTAAGACAAAAGAATTTTTAAAAAACAGCCTCGAGCTCAGTTTTTATTTTGCTCTGAATGCCTCCTTTGTTTCAAATTTCCTCTATTCGCCCCAACAAATCTACTCCAGATATTTCACGCGTGCCTACCAACAGCCGTCCTCTGTTGCTAAGGTTGTTGCTAAGGTCGCTGGGTTGTTGGTGTTGCATATTTCAGACCGGATTTGGGCTCGGAACACGCTCAGATATATTTAAGAAGCTGACGTTTTGAGCACAGAATTAGGAAAAAGAAGAGGGATCGCACAACCGTTTGTTGACGTCGACTGCGGAAGCGTGCCGAGGGGCAGCTTCCGAGCCAGCGAGTCAGAACAAGAGGGGCAGGAGCTGAAACAGACGGGCCAAACCGAGACGCTGCATAAAGACACGCAATAAGTTCAATAAGGATACGTTTTGTGAACTGTTAATCATACAAAGATATGCCTCTATGAACTTGAAGAACCCGCGTTATGCACACATTTACAGGTTTCTGATTTTATTTTTGGGGGTCCATTTTAGCTTCAGTCTCTTTAAGGCCTCCCTTCAGTCAGTCTGCTCCGAGTCAGCTGGCCACCAAAGCGAGGCATCGCTGGCTATGTACCTTAACGCTGAGTATAGGGATGCACCCCAAGCAGTAGTGGTTGTAGTCAAAGATATGTATAATAAAGGCTAGATGTCTCATCCGTGCTGCCGGCCAATGGAGTCGCACGGCCACACTGGCGGCCATCTTGGCACGGTCCGCTGTTGTGTTGTAGTGGTGCATGCACTTTTTAAACAACCATAACTTGCTCAATTTTCCACCGATTTTCAAACGGTTTGGTTTGTTATAAACGTCAGAAGTGTAGTTATAAACATAGACTGTATAAAAGATGGACGTAGCAACCGGCCCTAAAAAATGAAGCCAACCCGGAAGTGTCAAAAACCTGCAGCATCACTATGTCCACTAGCTGCTGGCTCCAAAAAGCCCTGGCTCCCATAGTAATGAATTGGATCACAGATGATCACAGATCACAAAATACCGCTTTCCTACAGCTCAGGATTGTTTTCTTATTAGTTTTCATGGTCAAATCCAGAGATCAGGTGGCCAATCTGAAAATAAATCAATACTGAATTTTTAAAAAATCGTCAACATGTTGCGGGGCAAGGGGCGTGGCTGGCTTGATGGACAGTCGGCAGCGACGATGCAGACGAAGCGAGCAGAAGGCGGTAAATGTGGGCGGGCAGAGAGGGCCCGCCTCTCAATCCGTCTGACCAATCGCTGCTCCTATGGCTCTGCCCCCCTCCGACGATTTTTGCATCACTGGCTCCAAAAATCCAAGATGTCAACCAGGAAGTAGCAAAACCCTGGCTTCATTTTCTCAGTGCAGAAACCAACGGGTGACGTCACGGCAGCTACGTTCATCTTTTATACAGTCTATGGTTATAACACCGTACTTATGGATAATTATGTATTTGAATTATTTTGTATTTTATTTGTATTTTTGTAATTTGAATTGTAGCCACGTTAGTTACGTCTGTAAGAAACCAAACCATTGGGAAATACATCAAGATTTCAGCAACATAAGAATATTTACATTTGTACAGATCACTCACCTTCCTTCAGGTTCTGCCAGAGAGCTGCCCTGAATCAAGATGGCCGAAGGGTGATCCCGTTCAAAATGCCGCCTTGAGACATCTAGCCTTTATTAAACATATCTCTGGCTGTAGTGAGTAAATAATGGCAGACGCTGCTCATTCTCTGTGAGAGCCAAACTAGCCTCTCGGCAGACATTACATGGTACACAGTTTTATGTAAATCGGTAACAAAAGGAAAGCCTGGACTTCAAATGAGACGTTTCAGGTAGGTAAGGAAAAGAGAGTGGGCGGGAATAAGTCCCTTTGGCATGGACTTAGGGCTTCTACAATATTAAAACAGCAGATAATGAACAGCAGAAACAGTGTGAGATAAATGACTAATTCTTCCAGCATTTTATATTCCAAATCGATGACAATTTATTAGCAGCGGCCTTAACAGTGGAGGGACGGCCTTCTGGGATGCCTCCAAAAAGCTTAAACATTACATATGAAACCGCCCCGGTGGTAAACAGCGTCGAGGTAAATGCTGTTGCTATGTCGCTGCTAGCAACACTCCTACCAGCCACAGAATAAGGAGAAACTTATTTCTTCTGTGACAGATGGTGCCACAAAAATATATTTTCTGCTACTAATGTACAAACTGTTTGACACAATCGGTACAGCCTTCCCAATTCTTTTGTAGCTTGACATTTGGTCCTCGGAGTGATTGGCAGAAATGCATACTGCTGCCACAGAACTTCTCAGTCGGTGGGGATAATTTGCAGAGCTACATTGCTGCAGACTGGAGGGTTTTTGCTTTTTCCTTCTTTTCTTTTTTTTTTCCCCCTCCTCTCTCTTTTGATGGCTCGTCTTAATGGCAACAGCCTGGACTGTGTTCTCAGGGGCTATGCTGAGCATGCAGTTGTCATGATAGATAAAAAAGAATGGGGTCACAGAGGGAGACGTGGCACTCCCATCGCACTCCCTGCTACAATGAGCTACTGGAAAGCAAGGTGATCAGACTGCATATGCCTTTTTTTTTTAAAGGAAAAGAGAGAGAGCATAGAGGGAGAAAAATTTGAAGATAAGTGTCGGGAGATAGGCTTTTAGAAAAGTCTACAGTCTGCTGTCATCGGAGATAGGGTCTCAGCCACCCCTTCTACCGGAACCAAGCGATGACTTCATCACCCCCAGGCTCTTTCTTTTTTAAGGTCTGAAATGGTGAGCTGTAGACAAGTCTCTGCACACTAATTTACTTTGCTGGTTATGGAGCTTCTTTGCCATTTTCTTCCTTTTCTGTCGCCTAACATTGTGTTTGACAAGCGATCTACCTAATTAGCTCTCCCCTCGCCGGCTGAAGGTGTGCTTATTACGGAAATTAGCCGGTGGGGAGTTTGGTTGGAATGAGAGCGTACGTATTCATGGCACTCCGTGACACATGATTGGACACTACTGTGTTAGATATTATGTGCTGTTTTCGTCTGCAGAGACGGCAGCACCGGCTGATTGTATATGAGTTTCTCTGCGGGAGCCAAAGAGTGATCATAGTTTCACATGTATCCGCACCTGCAAGCACAAACGATTGACAGACATTTTAACACAATAATTTCTTAGAAAGCCCAGCCTGTCATCGTCAGTCCTGTCCGTGTTTTGTCAGTGTTAAAAAGCTACTGAACAACAGGGAGGTTACTAATGCTGCGTGTTAGCAAAGCAAAACTTTACTCTGCAAGTCTGATGTACTCAAGTGGAAAAAACAGTGTTGAACTGCCATTTCTGGAGGCATCTTGTTATTACCTTTTTTTGATGAGAATATTTTCACACCTGTTTTGTTTGAAGTGGTTATGCTTGGGAAGCTTCCTCTAAAGCCGGGCTCACACTGCAGGGGTTTTAAAATCCTCACAGATTTTGAAATCAGGTTGCATCACTCACACACACGCGAGGAGGAACTTTAGATATTCACCTCTCTAATCTCAGACATGCACACGCTACATGATTTGGAAATAATGGTGCATCACGCACTACAGGATATTATTAAGATCGTCGTGCCGCGGGGAGCAGCGCTCCACCACACGGGATCTCATGTGCTGCAACAACTTGTACCACGAATAAAACTTTACAGTGAGAAACGAACCAAAGTAGAAGTCTGGATGAGAAAATGTTTGGGAAGATGTGGTCAACATGGGTTTTTCTTTTTTTAGTGACAGATCAGTTATAATATCTGTAGCTAACGTTAGCCTCAAGAGCTAGATTGTTTGGCGTTGATTGGCACACAGCTCCTGGCGGCAGCACGATAATCAGTCATATTCTAACTTGCAGATAGCAAACGTTTTGATATTGATCGGAGCGGCCCTGATGAGTCTGGAAGCAGTTCAGGAGTTTCAGAATCAGAATACTTTATTGATCCCAGAGGGGAAATTGTTTAGTTTAGTACAGGATCTGTAAACGTCTCACATTACCAAATTATCTGAGACCAAATTTCTCCTCAGATTGTCGGGAGGGATGAAACCAGGGAGCAGCGTGAACCTGGTTTAGCCACAACAATTAGGAGTAACATTTGTAATATCGCTGCTAAACTGCTTAGCAAGATGAAATGAGTATCTGACTAACCATCCTATGACTGCATGTTGGTGCCATCATGACTGGATGTACGGGGTTTCTTCCAGTTGCAGTACAACAATGTGGTTTTTCATGAGCGGTGAAAAGCAGAAGCTTGTTTTAAAGTCTGAAACAAAGGAACAAGAAATACAAAACCAGGCAAAATAGAAACAAGACAGATAAACACGTGAAAGGGAGCGTTTGGCAGAACCAGCATTTTCTCTGATATGGGATTACAAAGCATGTTTAATTAACACCGTCTGACAGGTAATCTGTAACACAACCTGCTGTGATGAGATCAAGCCGAGGCCACCTCTACAACTACCTGATTTGCAAAAAAATTGGTAGCGCAAGTGCCACTCAAACACACAAACACTGAGGCAGGAGGACACGAGCGGGGACATTGTGGCTCCCTATACACAGTCTGTACACTCATACGCCCACATGCTCACATACTTGAGGCTATTAAATATGCCAACACCTCATCTCCAATCTTAGAGCGGGACAGACTGTCACAAGGTTCGGCTACACGCACACATGCGCACACCGAGCTCCACGCAGCAGGACACGGCGAGCCACGGCTACCCTCAGGACACTTAATCACACTCATAAAGAAATTCTGATGCAACAATTTGCAGAAGTAACAAAGACAAGGTCAATAGATGCATTGTATTTCGGGGAGGGGAGGGGGGTATTTGTGCCTGCAGCCAGCCGAATGACTTTGAATTGTGCACAAGAATCTTTGGCCGCAAGTAAATTATGAGCTGCGTCATATTAGGTTCATAAAAACGCACATACAACCCAATGCCACATACTGCTTCCCCAGTAATTAGACCATATAAATTACTGCCCATTACAGCCCGGCTAAATAGCAACAGAAAATTACTTGGCATAGCTCATTTGTCAGGTTACCGTGCAAAGAACATCCATAATGCCAAAGACTGCAGAGCTTAGGGGGCTATGATTAAGGTCATATGACATGTTCCAGTAGTCATTCCCCCCCTTTTTTTTCCTGCTGACGTAAGCCGCCGCTTGTGATGGAGGACGCTCGCTGTAGCGTTGGATGTGGAGGAATCAATATCGTGGAGAACTATCTGGTTATCAGGGGGCATCAGTGCGACTCTTTGTCTCTCTCTTCTCTGTTTAAATTGACTTAGGATAGTAGACCCCTGAGGCAGTAGTTCGCCATTCTTCAGTTTAAAGCAATCAACTGTCTCGGAGCTTTGTTCGCTCCACGCACGCCTTGCCGTGCCACCGCGGAGGAGCTTGAGGGATCGTACTAATCCGGTTGTCCTGCTCACTTGAGGAGAAAACGCACTTATCACGATAAACATATTCCCTCCATCACCTTGGACCAATAGTGTGAAGCTTAACAGGAAGTTAATAACGTCGTTGTGATACCGAGTGCCAACATTATTTCACCGAGAGAGAGAGTTTTATGCATAGCGGTGACACTGAACAAACACACGGTTCATGACTTTTTTTTTTTTTTTTTTGCATTTAAAACCATTTTTTTCTGCCTCCATTTGTGAGTCTGTGAATACTGAGGATAAAGGGCAAACAAAACATTCGGCGACGAGCTGTGTGCCGAAAGAGATCCACCGTGAAGCATTTTGAAGAGAGGAGAAGGGGACATTAGTTATGCTAATTAAAAAGATGGAGTGAAGGGAAAAGGAAGGGAAATTAAATGAAGCCGAAAAAGTGGAGCAAAAATTAAAGCTGGGCTCAAAGCAAAAGTGAAAACAGGGAGCAGTAAAAGTGAAACTCTGCTACGTGACACACACACACAGCTTTAGTTTCGCTGCAGACCTTAAAGTGGCCACGGTAGGGATGGATGGTGTGAAGGAAATTACCAAAGCACAGACACACACACAGGAAACTAAAACTCTGTCCGGTAATCAATCTTAGTGCCCTACTTGTTCTCCCACATCTACCGTGTGCACCGCGCTGTCGTCCGTGAGGCTGACAGGATCCTCCAGTGATGCAAGTTTAGCTATCTGAGAGAACCAATTTAGCAAATAAAACTCTGTCTCCCGGCGCGATTTCAATATGAAAGACAGTCTAATGATTTCTCTCTAGTACCGAGAAGACGGCAGTCTCTCCAGCCAGCTTTGTTACACGCAGCCTTTGTCGTGTTTGTTTTATCGCAAGCTGTTTGCCTGAAGAAGGCCTGGCTGCTCCCATTGATACAAGTTGTCAGACATGTTTTCAGGCACTTTTTTATTTTGCTTTGTTTGTAATCCTGCTCTGTGCTGCTACTGCTACTGCTAGCAGTATCAGATGCCAGTCCAGCCTGGTTCTGCAATGGTGCAAAACCCGACTATTTTGTACACTCTTAATTTTAGCAGCCTGATCGTTTTGTCATGATTTTTTTTTTTATTATTATTATTTTTTATCATGGCCTTTTCTTTCTGCAGTCCAGATTTGTATAATGCAGATTTGATTAGCCGATATTAATAGTGTAAAATGTTAACAAAACAAAAAAAAAAAAACAAAAAAAGTACTTCTTCCAGCTAGATACTGATGAATAGAGTTTGTAAGTTGGGTAATTTTAATATAATTGGTAAACTTTTTTTCTTTTCTACTTTTCTTTTCAGGAACCGTTTCAGGCTAACATGGCCAGGATTAAAGATATGGTTAGGCTTTTGTTTTGTTCTTGTGTGTGTCGTGTCTCGTGGTGTTGCTTCTATTTCCTCTTTATGAGTTCAAATGGAAGTATTGTTGAGTCCGTTGCTTCGCTCCTGACAACCTTTACTTTACTGCCTTTTTCCTTTTCAGAGAAGAGAATCCGCGACTTTGTCCAAAAAGGCAAACAACACCTTCAACATTGTCGGAACCACGTATGCCATCAACGTGGCCAAAGACCAAGGCTTGACGACCATTTCCAAGAGCGCCACCGGAGCGTCGGTCAAACACCCCTACCTGCATAAAATGGATGACCCCTACACAGAGGCCAAGAAGTCCTACAACCGCGTCAGCAAAGTGGACAAGATATCGCGCATCATTTTCCCAGTTCTGTTCTTCATCTTCAACTTAGGCTACTGGGCCACGTATGTCAACAGAAAGCCCGCGATCATGAAGGCCAACAATCTAAACTGAATTTGACCAGAACGTTAGGCTCGATCTAGTCCGGTTCGGAGGGTAGACAGGTTTGCAGGAGGCCAAGTCCATTACATCTTATCGTGTGTGTATGTGTGTGCGCGCATGTTTCGTGTGTCTGTTTTTTCTCAAGCGTTTGATATTTTTGCACGTCTGTATAGATGGAAGGCAAATCTGAACATACGGTAGACTCACATATAGCTGTGGACCTTGGAGGAAGCACACATCGCCCCATCAGTCTGTGTTCGTGTAGCCTTTCTTTTTTCTCCCCTCCACACACTTAGCTCTGGCCCTGTTCCCCCCGTCGTGAGTAACCGTTTCTTTGCTGTATCTTGATTGCTTGCCGTTTTGTAGAGTAGTCAAATCGTGCTCCCACTATGTTTTGACATGTTTGCACTTTGCTTATAATAAGTTAGAGCAAGCATGCGTTGGAAGTTTTCATTGTCGCACATTACCAACGATAAGGCTTTGACACGTCCATCGATTTGACAACATGCATGCACACACAGGCACACGGCAATGCATCAGGAAACGCCAGCAGAGCCATTGACTGGTTGCTCTGATAGCTGGGGGAGGCCTGTATAGTTCCATAGGAACATCATTAATAATCGTCAGTGTCTGGCCTTCAGCTTGCGCTGAATCGCAAACAGTCCCAACGCCGCGTCATCTGGAATTGCTTTCGTGTCTCGCGGGACTGCCTGTACATTTTCTCGTCCAGTAGCTCTTATTGTTTTAACTGGCTGAGTATGTTCAATGACAGAAGCTATGTGCCTTGGTAAATACACACATCATAAACAAAAAAAGGCTTTGACATGCTTACACTTGCATTCACGACACATGTATGCACACAGAGGTCTACGTGTACATTACATGCCAACATCGACTGGTGTCCACAGGCTCCGCGCACTGCACTCCGTGGCTGTGCCTCACCCGCCATCAGCCCCGTGGGCACGGTCACCAAGTGTAAAATTGCCCATTAGTGTGGAAGGTTAACAGACCTCTGCCTGTGAAAAGACGAAGCAAAGAGATTAAAGGATCCAATGTAGTCCATAACGATTATCATGTGCATTTATGTTCTGACTCCTGGTGCGGTATCTCCGTGAGCTGAGCAGTCATGACAAAGTACCACCATTACCTCAGACTGAAGTCGAATTCTGGATTGCAGTTTATTGTATGTTTTTGTTGGAAGTGCAGCACTAGATGCATTAAATCACAGCAGAAAGTCTTTATGTTTATTCGGTATACTGTGTGAGGCTCCTCAAGCCTTTACTTCCTGGTTTTCTTTGCGTCGGTCACGGTAGCCTTTTGGCTCCGTTAGAATTTTTCTGCACTTCTGCCTCGTCGTGAGCAAGATTTTGTTCCACGCTGTACACTTTTGCCCTTTTTATATTTTGCTGTGTAAAGTACATTGTTGTTGATTTGACTTGTCTACATATGCTGTATTGTTTTCGTGTTTCGTTGTAGACAAACAAAGGCCGATATGTCACGATCACACAGTGTTTCCAAACAAATTTCAGAGACGCCAAAGCAAAATTCTGTCGAATCAATAATAAAAGAAGACCGCCTAGTTTCTTAAACAATAAACAAATCAAAAAACAAAAACAAAAACAAAAACAAAAAATGAATTGCTAAGAGACCACGCAAAGCGATGATCTGAGCTGGTTCGTCTCCAGCGGCACCAAGCGTCTCCGACTTTTGTTTCCGTCTGTTGAGTGACATCTGTGCTTTTGTGTGACTTCCTGTATTTATGTGTTGAATCTGGTCTGTGTTTATACAGATGTTATGTAATGCTAAATTGCTTTATTTTTTGCCAGACATTTTTTTTTCATTATCTTAAATATAGACTCTCAAACGACTACTGTACTCGAGAGCCCCAGTCGATCTCCTCAACCTACGTCTTCAGCAGTGAGCCGAGGAGAATGAGCGAACTGTCCTCTGAGCGGTTTGTTAACTCCACAAACCGCGTACAGTCTTTTAAGTTTATGCATGACAATCTGTACACGTCTACGTCTGCAACCTCCAGTATAACGGTGTGTGACACTCTGAAATAGGGCTTAGTACCAAGTGTTCCTGTAGTTCATCCCAGTCGCTCGTAACCTCAGCAGCATCTGTATAAACACACTTAAACTCCGATTATTTGTGCATATTGATGTGATGCTTGTATTTTGCAGCTGGCACAGAGTTCTGAAAGTGTTTTACCCTCGTTTTGTGTAACACAGACTCTACGTTTCACGCACACACTTAGCTGCCACTCGATTCATCTCAATTAACATTAAAATGCAAAATGGAGCAAAGAGGAGCTACATGACCACAACAACTACAATTCTTATTTCAGGTCTGACCGCGGAAACTACATTTCGGCCGTCGAACTAGAGTTTAGCTTCATCTCTTCGAGACATTCTCAACACAAATGAAGCAGCATCTCCCGGTGAACCATTTTCTATTCAACCACAAACAACAAATGGACCGACATAATAAAGCACCACATTATAAACTCCGAGATAGAATTGTGAGGAACCTAAATTATCCAATCAAATTTTTACAGACAAATGACATTTATAATTACAAACCCGGTGAACCGCGTCCCCGTTTATTAGCAATATTTATTACCTCCACATTTTTTTTGTGGAGCAAACAACCGACATCCTGCTGCAGACACAGTATGGATTTTTGAATCAAATACATTTCACAAAGCGACCGTAAAGCACCCCGTCCCCCCTTTTTCAGACTCGATTTTTATCATTTTGTCTCAAACAAAAGCGATTCATCACACACTTCTGCTATTAAGCCCTGCTGGCTGCTTGCTAATTCGGGATCTGATGACACGCAGCACTAATGTTTATGTATGATTCCTGGGAGTAATGCGATAGAGGCAGCGTAGGTAAACAGATCCGAGCAGTAGCCGCTGAAAATTTTAAAATGCATTTGTGAAATAACTTGCATTTAAGATAGTTATCCTCTAAGTGACACGACTGTCGCGGTTGTAAATATCGCTAAATGCCCACGGGCTCTTGTCGTGTCAACATGTAGGATAATGTGGTAACCAAAGATAAATCCACTCGGTAATTTCAGTAGTGAAACAGACGTCCTTCACATTGCAAAAGAGAAATCAATATTTGTGCATGTTGGTAAAATGATGCATCTCAACTTGTCCAATTAGCTCCATTAGGAAAACAAACGCTCCTCACAGCAGCTAAACAAAACATTTATAGCAAAGCAACTTCTTTTAGACGCCAGTATCTTACCATGTTGGCGTGTTCCACTGGGGGATATGACACTTGAATATTTCATGAACTTCTTCCCTTATTCATTACTCTGTATGTTAATATTTGTCTGTGCGCTGGACAGCTGCTGTGACACATTTACCGATTGGAAAAAAACAAGCTGCACTATATGCAGGATTATTGTTCATATACGTCTGTGCTTAGCCAAAAAAAAACACAAAACGGGAAAACACTTCCAGAGTTGCGAAGCCACGACTTGTGAACTCTGCAGTAGAATCACTGTCATCCTAACTGCTCGACAACCGACTGGCCAGGGCGAACAAAACATGTGAAAAAGCTGAAGATGTATTGAAATAGTATTCTGAAGAGTCTGCATGATGTACATCTGCCATGTTAGGACGAAATGTTTTTTTTGGGGGGAATTCAGATATTTTTTAACATTCCTGAGGGGGTTTTGATAAACTACTGTGTTACGATTGTGTTATTCATGTGGTGAGTTGTTTTGTTTTTTTCCCCTCACAGGGCCAGAGTTAACTTCAGCAGAAACATGTCATCCTATAAAATACAGTATATTAAGACTATATTACTATATTAATATATTTATGCTATTCAGTACAGCATTAAATATTATATGTTTTATACGACATAACCTCTACAGCGTTGATGCAAATGCATAGAAAGCCGTAGGCAAATAGACGAACTAAACAAATTATTAAACTAAATGGCGACGACTCTAATTGCTCAGAATAGTGTGACTAAGTTGTGAATTTGTAGATATTGTGAAATCAACTCCGATAGTTTTTCTGTGAATATGTCACGTCGTTTATTTTTTACATCCGATAAGTACTGCTGTCTCACACGGAGCTCTGTAACACTACGTGTTATGGCATTATAAAGACGTACAGTAGAGATAATATCCATCCAGCTATTTACAGGATCAGTACCTTGTGTGCACTTTTTCAAAACCTAACTGTGAATTAGCAGCCGTCTGCAAGCAGAGTTGTACACACTGTGTTCTCTGTCTCTCTCCAGCAATTTCACTGCATGTCCCTACGCATTGAGAGATCAAAGACTTCCTCCACAAAGACAGCTCCGGGAACTTTGTGGACTCTTGTGTTTTTGTCGGGAAGTGCTCTCTATATGCTCAGTGACTGGACTCTGTATGTTGCCCTCTCTTGTTCATGTGCTTACTGTATGACATGTAGCAAATGGAAGTGGGGATTAAAAGGACCATGTATTTTGTCTGGGAGTTATAAGGCCCTTCTTGCTCGAGCCTCGAGTCCTTCAACACGGACTCGTCTGACGTCCCCCCTTCGAGGCTCATTTGACACTTTTTTTTGTCAGTGCTGTGCATGCAAGTCCTTCTGTCTGTGCTGTTTACACTGTGATTTATTGAGGAAAAAAAATCAAGCAGTACAATGTGAGGAGGACATCCTGCAGGGAGCAAACACACAAAGCAAAGCACAGCCATCGGAAAACTCTCCGACTACTGTACGTTACACACACAACAGGTAAAATAGCCAATGCCGAGCCTACAGCTGAAGGTCTACACTGTACATTTCAATAATTATATTAGATATTTAAATGTTGCGCCTCATTCTAGCCTGCTGGCATTTGCTGTCCAAACTGTCTTCTAGAAAATTATTTAACAAACAAGCATCTTCATGGTCAGGATGAGAAGAATTAGGGTTTAACGAGGAAGGCTGCAGGTGGATGCTGGGGCTACCGCTAATTTTTTCAATCAATTAATCTATCAAGTATTTTACAACTTAGCGG